GAAAGGGCCAGTTCCACAGCAGGATGGTGGTCACGTTTTTACTGGTGTCTGTCTGAGAGTTGGTGGAAAGTTCAATTTCCTGTGGCCATCTATAGCGAAAGCAAAGCAGTAAAATGCAGAAGCTGCAAATGAAGATGAATCTCTTCACGGAGCTGGGTATCATCTTCTTAGTGTTTTAAACCCTGCCATAAAACATATGAGATGTCAGGCCAAGAGTACAAAATAATGGACAGCTTAGAAAGATTGAATTTTCCAACAATAAAGTCCTGTGAACTACCTGGTTCTATGAATAATGGATAATCAATAACAGTACACATAAAGCTATACATACATTTACTCTAGCCACATTATTTGGTCTTAACTTGCCCTAGAATTACAAGAGATGATCCAAGACTGATGAGTGAACCTTCAAACTTTCAGTCAAATACAAAATCTCCAGTATCTCTCTGCTGACAGAAGTTTGAAAAAAAAGTGCAGCTTGTTTTTAATTCCTGAGAGCTACAAGCCAATGAACTTTATTTTATTTTAATTTTATTTTTTTAGAGGAAGTGCATTGTGAGATAGCTCATCATAAACAACAAAGAAGAACCACGGCTGTATTCCCTCAAACCTGTCTGTCTGAAATCTTTGGATGAGACCAGAGCTTGGTTGTTAAAGAACATGCTCACTTGTTGCCTTGCCAACAAAAGCTGCACAGGGTTCCTCTTGCTCCTATTATATTTTTTTTCAAAGATAAAGAGGATGCTTTGTAATTCCATTTGGAACAACAGAAAGGTTAGAATTCACTTATCTCTGCTTTATCTCCCCTATGATAGAGGGAGGTTTAAACTTCAAACCTCCAATAGTTATATTATCGGCCTGCCAAACTCACTACTACCTCTTATTGGTTTTCACGTCATATTTATACTCAGCTAGATTAAAGGAATTAAGGATATTAACATATATTTAGTTTGTTAACAATACAAGTTGGGTATGGTATGAGGTTAATGTTAGGTATTAAACCAGGTTCATGTGTTATTATGTTTGTGCCTACGAGGCTACCGTAACCCCATGATGGCCTCGGGGCTGATTTTCTGTACACTGTCCCGTTCAGTAAACGAACCGCGACCACATTTTTGCCTGTCTCCTCGTTTTTAATGTAAACTAATGTACATACATGCGACTGAACTCACGTGTAGTGTTCATTCTTGTAAATAGCAGTTTTGTTTTTAAAGTTAGTCGCCTAGTTGATTGTTTCGTTGCCTATTTAGCAGCACATCATCCGAAGAAAGCGCGGGAGACATGCTAGAGCCACCGGACCAACAGACAAACGAACGAAGGACAACGCGAGGCAACTCGTATTACAATGGCTGTTGTTGTGGGCAATATTGGGCCGTTTGATGACACGATGGAGCAATGGGGCAAGTACTCAATGCTACAGGTTGTAGGAAGCGAAGGATGGAGATCAAACTCCGCCCACATCCAAATCGACCATTTTGATTACGTCACCAATGGTAAGATCCCAGGCAAGAAAATTGTCATTGACTCATGGTAATATTGACATTAATTTAAAGATAGTGAAATTAATCTTGCAAACACTGAATTAAACTCTATACATGATATTGGCGAATGTTAAATAGGTTTGTACAATAAGTCCAAACAAATGTAATCAAAAATATTTCTTTCTCTCAATTATGAAGGGTGGAGGGTTAGGGTTAGACTTTGCTGGGCCAATCAAGGAAAGAAGGTTTTTGGTGGTGGTAGACGCGCACCACAAATGGCCGGACGTGGCCATCATGAAGTCGACAACCACCAGGAAAGCCATTGAGCCACTGGAGGAAATGTCAGCTGGTCGAGTTTCAGATGGTAAGGGATTGGAATGATGTGAGAATTTTAATTCATTATACCACTGCCTTTGGGAAGGCCGACAGATTCAGGCTTTTTGGATTGAACTGTTTGATAGGATTCTACATCTTACAGATGAAAATATTTCAATAGATCCAAAACTATGTATCTTCTGTGTTTTTCCAGTAAATAACCTATGGCAAACAAATCTATGATTACTTTCTGGATGCTACAAGCCAAATAAACCATATCCAAAGTCTAGAAACCCACTAACAAACAAGGGTAAATATCCCATCTATTATGTATATATGGAGATCTTTTATGGTTTTCTTGGAAGGGAGAAAAGCACTAAAGTCAAATACATGACTGAATGATGAATGATACATATGTATATATATGTAAACATTACTTTGATAATTGAAATGATTCTAATATTGATATATTTCCATTCTGATGGAGACTCACCACCGGTTCATTATGTGTATGCCTCTTTTTTGTCCATTCTGGACAAAAAAAAAGAAAGCATTAATAGAAAAGGAGAAGTACTATTACCAAAATTGGGAATTGCAGCTGGGTGTGATCAATGCTCAGAAGCAGTGCAGGGGAGGCACTGAGTCAAGGACAAGCAGCAGGTGTGAGTTTGGCCCAGCTGCAGTGTTCTCATTACTCCCCCTGTCCTCTCCTGCAGCTGTGTGCTGACACTGGATGTTGAAGGAGGGTGATAATCGGCTGGGTTTGGGATTCTTTCATCCTACACTCATGTCTTGTTAGCATGGAAAATAGGAGTCGTCATTACTTGAGTGGTTGTTTTTGCCTCTTTAGTGAAAAAGGAAAATGGCCGTAGCTTGTGACTAAACATCACTTTACAATAACTAAAGATAAGCCTCCCAAAGAGGTCAAACATAGAACATTTCATGTGATAGTGTTCAACGACCGGTGATAAAACCCTTTCATATTTAATTGGAACTAAGAGTAAATATTTTCTCACATGTGTAAAACAGGGGGGAATAATTGAAAAGCTGTCATCCTAAGCTGTTGCTATAGTTCATTTTCCATCTTGTATAGTTTATTGTAAAATTAGACTTCACAAAGATGCTGTAAAACAGAATTGTCCAACAAATACACTTATCTTTAAACTATCAAATTTCATTTTACGTACGAGAAGAAAAGCACATTATTTATTCAGAACTGAGGAGTTTCAAACGTGATGGAGACTAATTGAATGGAGGAGAATAAACTTTTGAGTGCTTCCATGAAAAAGAAGTGAATACAAGGTGCTAAGAACAGAGCAACACTGAGAAGAAATAAACATTACAGCAAAATTGCAAATATGCTATAAATAACAAAGTAATATTTAACTTTAATTCCTTACAATAAATGGAAAAACTGCTAAATGGAAAAAAATAGAGTTTAATACAGACCGTGAGTGAAAAAGAATCATCTGACAATTGCTAAAAGGCTTAAACATGCAGTTTTTGTGTGTGCACAGACATGTGATTTGATCACAAGATAAGCAGCTGTATCATGATGTTCTACCCACAATCGTCTTATCTTTTCCTCAATATAACCTCATGAGTGGAAACATTTAAATCAACACTGAACAAAATGTGGTAAATTATAGATTTTCTTTTGCAAGGGATAAATATCAACATCCATACCTTGCAAGTGTACATTATCATTTCCGAATAGTGGCTTTGGCAGATACATTTACCGTAAACTCAGAGACAAAACGACCAGGAGCTAAACCACACTGACCAGAAAGACACACAAAACCAAACTTAATTTACCAACCTGATTTAGAGATGACTGTTCTGCTGCTCGGTCACCACTCATTGTATCACCATTTTTGGTTCGACTGATGGGTACATGCTGGAGAGCTTCATGTGTTTAGAAATTCTGAGCCTTGTAAGGAAACCGAGGTGGGGCTCTTTTTCTGCGCTCATCCTCTCATCACATGCTGCCTCTTTGCTGCCTCCCCAACCTCCTTAAATCCCGCTGCCCTGCGGGGAATGTTATGCTATATGCTCCTCATATTGAACAGGAATCTCTTAGCAAGAATACCCAAGCATACGCAGTTTTTGTGAGTACGCTCATGAGGAAGGAAGAGGCATTCAACAGATTTCACAAGGGGGGACACCACCATATCACATGCAAATCAGGACCAGGAAGGCTTTCAGGCAGGCACATTTTCAGTCTACAAAAGTGATTCTGTATTGTTAAACTCTCACCACTTGAGGCTTTTAAGATGAGCACATCGATTAATTAGAATGTAAAGGTTTTGGAGGAAAACATTGATTAATAAGCCAATTTTTTGCTTGTTAATCATCGAAGAAAATCAAAGACAGATTATTATCAGCATATTTCTCGGTGCAATGTGCACAGAGTTTAGATGATAGTTTCAGTTTTACTGGTGTTACATCTTTGGAGACGGACACATTTTCATTTCCCCAGCAACCTGAAGTGTAAATGGAAAAGTCTTTTCAACACCCTCATTTTTACTATAATGTCAGGTTACACATTTTTGAGGAGAGCGGTGTGGTCGACGTTTGCAGCAGGAGGGTTCCTGGTGGTTTCTGTGTGGAGTTTGCAATCCGTTGCTCATGCACCCTGACAGCCGCGTTTTTTTATTTTTGTGGTTACAGCGGTTTCCTGCACATGTAGAAACGGTTCTGAGAAAGTTTACTGTGTTAACTTTGAGTTGTCAAAATGAAGAACTTAATCTTGAGCAATGAAAACTGCACAATATTTTGACGGAGGGCTGGGGGGGGGGGCGGCAGGGGCTATGTTTGGTGTTGCTCTCTTTTGCAGCCTTTTGCTAGTCATTGAAAACAGAGCTCAAAGCCACAGGTGAGGGAGAAACGCCTCCACTCAAAAACCACACCCTCTTGCCGCGTTAACCCCTTCTGACGCTGTCCAGTGCGGCTGAAGTCATGCGTCTTGCTGTTTGTCTGGTTTGGGATCCTCATTTCACTCCTCTCACCTTAGAGCAAGTTCCTTCTACATGACAGCACATTTCCTGCCATTCATAAATGTTTATCAGGGACTGCTTTGGTGCTCACAACATGAACAAACGCATCAAACCAGGAAGAAAACAATGAATGGACTGGAGAGTCTAAACAAAATATATCACTGACGAGTCAAAGGAATGAGGTGTGTGCCATTTCAGGGGAGACAAAAGTATCAAAATATCAACATTGTGTGTGTCCAGGCATAGAATATTTGGTCAAATATTGGCTTTGAGGCTTTTTTGATATGCTGATATTCCTGACCAACTAATGTAATGTTGTATTTCAAAGTTGCCTGTACTGTGTTACAAGTTTCCTATGATTTTCTAAACACATCTATGCGACAATAGATGTCTGGTATCCCAGCTGGGACTCAACAGAGAGCCACAACCTGCGGGAGGTTTTTGGCTCCACATTACTGGCCTGTTTGGACTCCGTTGGTTGCAAAGTTTGAGGGAATCCACACTTTTGAAAAGGTCATAGTGTTTGATTGTTTTTCACTGTTCTCCAGCAGATGGTTCGGGCCTACTTTGTCCTACTGGGTTGGCCTACTACCACAAGGAAGGGCCTTTACCAGCAGGTGTCCCTGAAGTGAGCAACAATGACATGACATGAACAGTGAGTGCTTTTAATGATGTAGCCGACTGGTTTTAATCCACGCTGGAAGTAACTTACGACTTAATGCAGTAACTGAATTACTGTCGATTGTTGTGCTCTCCATTACACTAGGGCTAGGCCATACTCACACACATACTCCATAGTGTCATTTTCTTTCGTTTTAAGATGGAACAGATGGAGAACAAATCACGGCAGGCAAAAAACAAGACTTTCAGACTGACAGTGCGAGATTTTCTCGCAAAGAATTTGCTGGAAGGCAGAGAGTAAGAGATCCAGATTTGCTGGTCTGACTGGAAAGGCAAAAGGGGGTGTAGGCTGCCATCTCGGTCTCCAGAGGTGTGGTGAGAGCCAAACAAAACAGACTGGTATGGAGAACAGAAAGAGGAGGATAAGAAGGGGAATAAAATCAGGTGGAGTAAGGGTAAGGCAGTGCTCTTTGATTCAGTCAGTCCGAATTTTTTCGTCGTGAGTGCCACCAGTTTAGCAAAAGTTTTCGTGTGAGTGACAGAGGGATCACCACATCTTCCACACGCAGTTTCGCCTTATCTCTGCATCAGCAGCAACAAACTATTGTGCGACTCAAGAGAGATAAGTGACCATTACCAGACAGATAGAGAAAATGGCCGAGGCCCCAAAGATTGAGCTCTTTGTTAAGGTAAGAACTGTTTAAGCAATCATAAATGATCATGTGTTGCTGCTACCAGGCAAAACTGTTAAATGGTTCCAATGTTTGTGAATTTAACTCCAAACTTTGCTTTTAATTAGAAAGCCTTAAGTTGTTCTAGTCAAACATTACTACATAAGTATTTTTATTCTTAGCAATTGCTTAATGGCAGCTCTTTCTTTATGTAATTCCTGCTGGCACACACCTCAGAGAACATTTAAAACAAATGAAGTTTCAGTTCAGATTTTAGCTAGTACCAACAAGTAGTACCAACAGGTTATCTTTAACTATCTATATTTGGGTTATTGTGAAATATGTGGAACATAATATGAAAATAATAGGATATAGCAGACATATAAAAGGCCTTTTGAGACAACGTGCTATTTAAAGAGGGTGTAAACCAGCCTCAATCCTCCATTTGAAGTGTACATTCACCTCTGTCTTAAACTGTCAGAGTGGAGCTCCACAGCTGACTCTAAAACCAGTGTGGGTTTTTTGCGAAAATTCCTGTTTTGAGTGTTGGCTTTGTCTGTCAGGCCAGCGTCGATGCTGAAAGTGTGGGGAACTGCCCTTTTTGTCAGAGACTCTTCATGATTCTTTGGTTGAAGGGCGTCAACTTTACTCTCACCACCGTGGACATGAGGAGGTAATAGCACTGTTATATTTTAACAGTTTGTTACATATTCCCCTTTTGATATAGCCTCAGAAGGAATTGCTCTTACGCCAATAAACTGACGTAGTAATATTTGTGAAGATACATCAATCAATCATGTCATTCAGATATCCCCCATGTGCTTGACTCAAATAAGCCATTGCTTTGTTTTCATATGTGAGAAAATGATGAACATGTCCTAATTTAACACATTTCTTTAATAATGTGCAATATATAATTGATAAAATTCTAATTCTTTCTGAATGCTCATTGTATTAAAAGGCAGGCAGCCTGATAAAAAAGCAACTGAAAAGAAGGGGGGGTTGTGGGCAATACTAAAAACGATGTGAAAGTAACGCTTTGTTTATTTCAAAGGGAAACTATGCTTTTGAAGAAATCCCTTTAAGGGGACTGTTTTTATGTTCATACCTCTTCCTAATTTGAGTAAAGTGATCTTTTTTTTTACATTTAGCTTGATCCAATAGGTTTGTCTTCCTGACCATTCTTCTTTCACTTTATTTTACTCCTTCCCTGTTAACAAACCTTTATTCTTCTGGCTCATAATCTGCCTGTCTGTAATTTCATACAGAGCAGATGGTGAGTTCATATAGACTTCATAATTTGTCTTGTTGGTTGTCCCTTTAGTCACATGATGGTGAAGTGAGTCAGTTTTATAGGATTTATTTTTCTTTAACTCCACACCATCACACTGTCTTCATGTTCCCTGTGGCTAGAATTGTTATGGCGGACCTGTTGGGTCTTTGAATCTCTACTGTAGTCATTTTGGAACGTCTGCTGTAAAGACTGAAAAACCATTTTAACTGTGAAAAACATGTTAGGATGCACTGTTCTAAAGAGAAAAGCAGCTGTGAGCGTTTTATTGTATTTGACAGTGTAGTACTTCCAACACTTTGATATAACCATTTCATTAATGTGGATGCCAATTTGATGTATAACTTTACCAAGGAACGAGACTACTGCTATGAAAATTGCAGGCTGCAGAGCAAAATTAGTTCAAGAATATTTAGGACAAACACGAGAAGATTAGGTGTTGTTGAAGGTGTTGACTTGCCCCCCTACATTCTCTAAATTTCCCTCTTACATCTCAGAGGCTGCACCTCTCAACTTACAGGTTTTAAAGGATCTTCTGTTGACCCCTGGTATCAGAAACACACATTCAGATCTCTTAAAGGTCACTATGGATTCAGGACTATTTAAAAAAGGGGAGTGTCCTCAGTATTTGTGATTTGGGCCCTCCAAAAGTGCCAACTCAAATTCTGGACAGAGGAATGGGAAGTTATTTCTCATAATCAGTTCACACTCTGTCATCACTATCACACAAATAGGAAGGAAGCTGATTATTTTACAACTTCTGTCACATCTGTGTTTCTTTAAATTACTTTTTTTTTTTTCTGGTTTCAGGGCACCGGATGTGCTAAAAGCTTTGGCTCCAGGCTCTCAGCCACCCTTCCTCATTTACAATGAGGAAGTGAAAACGGACACAAACAAGATCGAGGAGTACCTGGAGGAGAACTTGGCCCCACCTCAGTGTGTGGAGTAGATCATTTTAGCATTCAAACACATATTGTGCTAAATGTCTTGTGCCACCCATTTCTGTGCAAATAACCATATTCTTCTTAGAATATATGAAAAATTGGTGGTTTACACAGTTTAGAAATGTCAGAGGTCATGGCCCAAACATCAAAACGCTTCAATAACATTTATCTTACCGATGCAGGTATCCAAAATTGTGCTGTCGATACAAAGAGTCCAATGGTGCTGGAGACGACATCTTTAGGAAATTTTCCGCATATATTAAGAATCCCAACCCTGGGTTAAATGACAGTGAGTCATTTAACTGTAGCTTCTGCTCTAATATAGGCACGTGATGTGATGTCACCACAAATGTAACAAAGGACTTTTGCTCCTTTTTTTGTCATTCAGTGCTGGAGAAAAAGTTTCTTTCAACTCTGGTAAAGCTGAACATGTACCTTGAGACGCCTCTCCCTCACGAGTTGGACCAGAATCCAAATGCCAATGAGTCTTCCAGGATCTACCTGGATGGTGACTCCTTCACCTTGGCAGACTGCAACTTGCTTCCCAAACTCAACATTGTAAAGGTGAAAAGAGTTCAGTTTTTGTTAAAAAAAAATATACACGGTACTTGAAAATCTATCAATGATCAAAGATATGTTCTCTTAAAATCTATGACTAAACTATTCCCCCATGACATTCTTAATTTTTTTCCTTCCTCAGGTTGTGTGTAAGCAGTATAGAAACTTTGACATCCCTTCAGAGTTGAAAGGCCTGACCCGTTACCTGGAAAATGCCTACAAACAAGATCCGTTCCGCTACACCTGCCCAAATGATTCAGAGATTCTCATTGCCTATTCCTCTGTTGCCAAATACTTGAACAAATAGAGAGGGAGGGAGTGATGACAAAGCATGCATGAGGTCAAAGGATTGAAATGTAGATAACATTATCCAAATGTGTCTGATAACTGAGAAAGTGTCTGATAACTTTTTGAATTATGAGCATTGATGTACCCAGAGTTTGCAGTTACATATAAGAATTGCCTTATATATATATTTTTTTGTCTGTCATGTGTGCAGTTGTACTAATGTAGAATTGTTTTCCAGGCCTATTGCATTATTTTTTAATGTGCATGCAAGTGTTAAAAGAAAACATAATAGTAACATTTGAGATTTCTTAAAATCTTTGGTTTCTATTCTAGACATAAATATAACATTCATATAGATTGTTTTGATTGGAAATTAGCCCTTTACATCCGTCTGTTTTTTTTAAACTTCATTTGTGAATCACAACTTTCAGTGGTGATACAGCTGGTTTTAGCATTTATATTATATTATTTAACTGAACGAAATTAGGTGAAACAAAAGAGAAAAATGTATGGTCAATATTAAACACTTCATTTGCAGGTTTTGTTTGTGTTTGTGCCTGTTATTGTATGAAAGTGGATTGTACATTGATACAAGAGATGGTAAAGATAGACTGATCATAACTGAGTTTGTCAGATTGCTGGTGGAAGTGTGCTGTTTGCTTTGATGCAGGAACATATCTTCATATCCATCTCTCTTCTTTTTTGGGGGAATTTGAAAAGAATGAATTAGATCATTCTCGGCTGGAGATTGAAATGACAGCGCAGCAATCTTCCTCTCAAGAAGTGCACAAACCATCATACAAATACTGGATTTTCATTAACAAAATATTCAACTGTAATTTTTTTTCTAAAAATCAGTCTTTAACTGGTCATGGCTCATGAAAAATGAATCTCACTAAATTTGTCCATACATCTAAGGTCATCACATGTATTGAATATCAAACAAAAGTGACAAAAAGAGGGTCAAAAGTAAAATATTTAACAAAGAGGCATGAGGCACCATTAGTTTGAAAAATCCTTAGAGCCAAATGAAAATATTAAAAATAATAGAAAATTTCTAAAATATCATTTTGGACAAAAAAATGCTGGTATTTATTCTAAAGACTTAAGTCAGTCACTTAGTCAACAGTGATGTATCAAAAGTTGGAAGTAGACATGACAGATGTTGTTGGCTCACCTTCAGATAAGGGGGTTTCATACATGTCAACAAAAACAGATTTAACATCAGCCAGAAGCAATTCAAGTCCTCACGTCGTTCTAAAACATTTTTATTCTTAGTAATTTTCTGATTGGTTAGATTCTCAAATGATACCAAGGCAACAACATACTGGGGCGGAGCTAATAGGCAAGTGACAGCATAAAGAAAAGTTTGTTAGCTTCTTGCTAACTTCGTCAGCTGTTCAGTGATGTTATGAAGAAGAAGTGAACCACCAGAAATCCTGTAAAAGTAAGCCTCATTGTCCTTATTTATCGACAATTTATGACACTCGAGTGTTAGTTTGCTTGACTTTAGGGATTTTATCTCGCTGATAAGACAGCTAACCTCAACCAGTCAGATGCTAGCTGTTGTTATTTTAGCTAATTCTCTTTGGCTAGCTAACTGCTCAGTCAAGTTATCCAGGTAAAATGAGTCAACATTCAGTCCTTTTGCTCCTGACAAATTACACGAGCTTGGCTTGTGCATGTTTTTTTGAGGCTATGTTTAAGTCATGATTCGAGGTAGAAAAAACAAATAAATAGGGGTAGCTGCTAATGTACGAATCCAGGTCCCCCCAAACGCATACATAATACATACATGTGATTTGACCACACCAGGTATAACATAATGCCACTGTGCAATGGACACAAAACGAAGGTTTAATGCGTGGCATTCTTATCCTAGCAGCGATTGCTGTCTTACAGAATGGATTGTCACGGAGATGATGGAGATCTGTGCTGGGCGACATCTGTAAGAACCAAAACTTATTTTAAAGCATATTGGAAACGAGACAACAACAAAATAAAGCTATCTGAATGATGATATGAGCTGGATTTAGCGGTTAGGACTAAATTACATTATGTTTAGATGCTGATGAACAGCAAGAGTGACCTGAAGGCGAGGGTGCAGCAGTTCGTGGAGGAGAGGATGCAGACCACTATGGTGAGGTGTTATTTACCATTGGCAGCATGCGTTTAGCAGAAGAAAGCAGAACACTGCCGTTTAATTGTATTGTAAATGTGGGATGATCTCGGCTGTCTTTCACTGTGTTTTGTGCACGTTGTATTGATAATGCTGACCTTTGTTTAATCTGAGTCCACTGATTAGTCAAAACAGCCAGTCAATAGGCATCTTTTAACTGACCCAGTTTTGGACTTTGAGGGATAACGTTACTGACAGCAGTTTATGTAAGCTGCTACATAGCCGTGCCTTCTCATGTGACCACGCTATTGTCTTGTCTTTTGTCTAGCTTACAGGTGTACTGATTGGAGCGGCGGTCGCAGTCTCTTTAATTGGGATTGTGGTTCTGTTTCTCTACAGGAGATTTAAACTTGCTCGTGAGTCATCCACTCCCTTCTGAGCTTCATGTTTATGTTGTAACGAGTATTTGCATTTGGTTTTGTGAACATAAAATAATATTTTGCCCTTAAGGGAGACTATGTTTTCACAGAAAACATCATTTTGACATAAGTACATTTTTATGTTTGGACTATCTAACAAGGTGAACAGCCGCCCGGGGTGCCTCATTATCGCTTCCGAAAACGGGATAAAGTGCTCTTCTATGGAAGGAAGATAATGCGAAAGGTCTGTTCTGTTTCTACTTCTGTCTGAATGCACACTGTTTGTCTGTGTTAAATGATTAGCGGTGTAATGGATTGAATGAATAGTTTTAAGGATTTAGGTCAACTCTTTGCTGACGGTGTCTGTTTTATTCTCTCCGCAGTAAGCAAAATGCAGCACACTTCCTCTTAGACTCATTGTATATCTGAACTTCAGTTTGCAATTGCCCTCATTGGCATGATGGCCCCTCTCTTTTTGAAACCTTTAGGTTTTCTCTAAATTCCATTGTTGTTATATAAACCCATGCATTTTAACCAAGCAGCTTTAGATTACATTTTCATATCTGTCTCGTCATTTAATTTACAGCTCTCATCTAATCATAATCTAATCATCTCATCTAATAATAAACAAGAATGTGTTTCTTATGTTCGAAGGTCCAAACGCTGTCTTCAACCCCTCCTTCCTCCTCTACCTCAGTGTCAAAACAGCCACAGCGCATACGCAAAAGAACCAAAGTTTTAAGCATAGCTCGCAAGTATGCAGCATTTGCACATTTGTAATTCTTTAGAAACTAAGCATTTTATATTGAACAGTTGTTTTTTTATTTTTTTTTTGTTCCTACAGAATCCTTAGGATCCGAAAAGACCCTCCCACCCTGCAGCCTAAGGAGCCACCTCCCTCTTTGCTGGAGGCTGACCTCACAGAGTTTGATGTTCAGAGTTCAAACTTGCCTTCAGAAGTTCTTTATATGTTAAAAAATGTCAGGTACACATCAACAAAATACCTTGTTTTTTTTATAATTTAAAGCATTTTTTGTAGTATTTTTTATAAATGTGTTTGAATTCTGCAACTCCTCAGGGTTTTGGGTCATTTTGAGAAGCCTCTGTTTCTGGAGCTGTGTCGTCACATGGTGTTTATTGAGCTGCAGGAGGGCGAAGGTCTGTTCAAGCCAGGAGATGATGATGACAGTATCTATGTCGTCCAGGATGGCCGACTTGAGCTCTGCATCCAAGAGAATGTATGTGACTCGCGTTTAAGGTCCCCCGAGCATATTCTTGGATTAATTCAGAAACCAAATTGGCTTTAAGTTTACCAGCCTAGTTTGAATTTGATTTGTTTATATACTACTTTGGTTTAGGTAGTGACTAATTATGAACAGCAGAGGGCACCAAGACAGATTTTAATGAGACATATTCTTTTAGATTCCAAATAATCGGACCTGAGTTTGCTGACATGTTTAACAAATTTGACATTGATATCTATTGTTTTTTATTCTAGGATGGCACAGAGCCAGTGGTGAAAGATGTTCTCCCAGGCGACAGCGTTCACAGCCTGCTCAGTATACTGGACATAATCACTGTGAGCTTTTATTAATTCTGTCATTTAACTTTTGATGTTGTTTCATCCCTGTTTGAACTTTGGGATTATTTGGGTGACCAAACAGTTTTGGCTCAGTTAACTCTACCATACAGAGTTATAACAGCTGTATGAATGTTCTCTGTATGTCTAACGCACCCTTTTCCTGCTGTTTTCCTCAGGGATACCCGGCCCCATATAAGACCGTCTTGGCGCGGGCTGCAACCCGCTCCACCATTTTGCGTTTACCAGCTTCAGCCTTTGAGTCAGTCTTTAAAAAATACCCCGAGACCCTTGTGCGCGTCATTCAGGTAACAGATTATCTGCCTGGAAGAATGCAATGTAATTTTTAATGAATTGGGATGCACACTGCAATCCTTTCAATAGTTAAACTGCTGTTGAATTTTGTTTGTGTTGCAGATCATCATGGTGCGCCTCCAGAGAGTGACCTTTTTGGCATTGCATAACTATCTGGGTCTCACAACTGAGCTCTTCAATCCGGTAAGAAGGGACTTAATTAACGCTTGTATATTTGTAAAACCACGGTAACACAAACACACACTGAATTCCCTAAGCTTGGCTCTCGATCAAATCGCATTTAAACCAGCACTGAAACGCACATTTGATCACCACCACATGTAGGGCAGCTTTACACAACATTAAGCGCAGAATTATAACTTGGTGACCACAGGATTTTTACTTTGAATTTCAGTGAGAGAGCGCCACCTATCAGTGAATGGTACCAGGTGGATTTTTGCCTTTATATATTGATTTATGAAGCCAGCTTCCTTACTAGAGAAAGCTTCTGAAGGTGTCTGAATCGCTATGGATGATGATAACGTCTGAATTGTTTACCATATTGTCAGGTTTTTACACATGTTAAAGCCATGTCTAAAACTGAAATGCAAATTCCTTGACGTTTTTTTTGTTTGGTTGACAGGAGAGTCAGGCTGTGCCTTTGTCCAATATAAACAATGTGATGGTTGACACAAATTCTGGAAAGATGACCCGTCGTCTGCACTTCCAGGATGAGTTGTCTCCAGGGGGTGCTGAGAGTTCTGCAGATTCAGGTCAAACACACCTGCACAGAAAAACAATTCCTAACAATACCTAACCCTGCTTGCATGTACTGATCCAGCTCCGAAATCTCGATTCACCCAAAACAGATGGCGTCAGGGACAGTCCTTCCAGCAGTTACAGGAAGCTGCGATCTATTTCGATGCCCACTGATTGCACAGGTGAATGATTCCTTTGGAGAAAGATAAATGGCTTTTGCATACATTAGTTGACCACCATACATTAATCAATGTCATCAACAGAAAAAAGGGGCAATAACAGATTTTTTTTTACGCTGTGTGACAGGAAATGACCTGAACATGGCTTGTGAAAGAGCTCGAGTCACTATAGAGGAAGCTCCATCCAGTCCTGTCCCTTACAAAGTAAGTCTTTCCCTGACCTTTGTTTTTTTTATATTTTTGCTGTTTTCTGGTCCTCCAGTGAAAAATCCCACTCTTGTGCTTTCCTCTGTAGTCCAGCCTGAAGAAGAATGTCACGATGCAGCAAACACCGTCTGAAGTGTTTCACTATACCGACAGTGGAGGGCAGTCTGATTCTGTCCAGCTCAGTAAGAGCAATGCAATTTTCCAAGCTGCCAAAAGGGACCTACTTGGAGTCATACAGCTGCAGGTAAATATATGGATTTTTTACTTTATTTAAAAACAAAGCCATTGATTTTTAAATGGAAAAAAAAGGTTTTTAACAACATACATTGTTCTTTTGCAGGACCCAAATCTTCTTGAGGGAAGAGTGACCCTTCACCATGTTAAAGCTGGTTCTTTTGTTGCCCGTCAAGGTGACCAGGTTCGAGAAACATAACAGTTAGAACTTCCTCTCTCAATTTTCTGCGTCTGTTGTGTAAAGGTTCATTGCTCACATCCTTACCAGCTTGCCACTGAGAGGCGTGGACCAGAAAATTCATCATGAAGCTTTAATTGAATTTGTGTGTTAGGACAAACTGTAAAAGCTCAAACTTTTTGCATAGTAGAATCATTTTAGTGGAATTCTGTTAATGCTTAATGCATTTATCATCACAATATAAAGTCTGAACTCCTTCCGCATCTGTGTTGTCTCTGTTTTCAGGAGGTGAGCATCCAGTTTGTGATTTCAGGTCTCCTTCATGTATACCAGCGAATGATTGACCGGGAAGAAGACACCCGTCTGTTTCTGACCCATCCTGGTGAGCTGGTCGGTCAACTTGCCGTCTTGACCGGAGAGCCTCTCATTTTCACTGTTCGTGCTCAGCGCGACTGCAGCTTTCTCTCCATCTCCAAAACCCACTTCTATGAGTGAGTCATGTATTCAGCAATGTTTGTTCAAGATTGAAATGTAGACCGCAGACTTGCAGGTATGCAAGAACATGTCTTTTAAACTTAACCCTGGAAACAATCCTTTGTTTTTCTCCTTGTTTTTTCTGCCTTGTTTTGGGTTTTCAATTTTCTCAGGATAATGCGGGTGGAGCCGCAAGTAGTCCTGAACGTTGCTCATACAGTGTCAAGGAGGATGTCATCATTTGTCAGGCAGATAGACTTTGCTCTTGACTGGATGGCTGTGGAAGCTGGAAGGGCCGTTTACAGGTATTCTGCCAGATAACATTTGTCAAATAGACAGACAATGTCCCCTGTACTGACATTACCAAATGCATTTGGGAAGAGACACAGTCAATAATGCTCAATGTAAACAATCCAGCCAACTAGATTAAAGTTATCTGTTCATTTTATAGGCAGAGGGAGAAATCTGACAGTACTTTCATAGTGCTGAGTGGGCGGCTCCGTTCTGTGATCATGAAGGAGGATGGCAAGAAAGAGCTGATTGGAGAGTATGGACGTGGTGACCTGATTGGAGTGGTAGGTTACCCTGACTTGACAAAAATCTTTCACAAGTTAACCACTTAACGACTTGTAACGACTTGTCTACACGTTGTAGAAATATCGTTACCAGTAATCTTGGTTACTGTGATTTTCACATTCATTGCTCATTCACTGTCAGGATCTAAGGCTGCTCCTCCAAGGCATTCCCTGATATAGTGTGTTTCAATGATAAAACCTAACCGAGTACATTTTATGAATATTGAGCACAGAAAAGCAGATGTGAGCAAGAGAGCTCAAATTGACTTTAAATAAGAATAATTTAGAATATTTTGTTTAGTAAATTAAAAAAATAAATCCTTTTTATTCCCTATTCCTACTGGAAGACCTCGATGTGCATGTAGAAAGAGGTCTTTTGTGTAGCTGCCAGAGGAACACAGGTGTGAGCAAAACATTTGAGTAATAACTCATCTAGTTTGGGTGGATTTATTCTAATTATGGAGTCCTTATTAAATTACTACCCACTAAAATACACAGCACATCAAAACAGCTACCAAAAAGTATTTGACAGTTTCACGTTGTTCACTTTACAGGCCCTGTGTTTTAGTTAAGGACACGCTTGAATTTGAATAGATTTGTATCTACACAGGAGAAAACCTATTCAGTTGAATACATTTCACATTTTTTATTTTTGTCCTTTAGACATCATGCCTTGTTTTTTCAGTGGCAATGCTCCTCCAGGCCTTAATTATGGCCTCCTTTAGCTTTTCTTCTTGTGAATACTCTTCCTTTTTATGCGGATTAACAGTTGGTGTCACGCTTTGCCGTTTGAGGACCTTCCCTTCTGAAATATACCCTTGTCAGAGTTGATGGGCTTCTGCTTCTAAGTGAAGATCATGAATCTGAAGTACGAGTGAAATCCTTTGTGCATTGTGAAAAAAAATGCAAATACACTTTTTGTATTAAAGAGAAACTAAACTGCCAAATATTTAGCAGTATGTAAAGAAGCATGTGCCACTGCTGAGAAGCCTGCAGTCTGTAATAAGGTCAGTATAAGGTGTAGATAATGTCATTCTGGACTGGATTATTCACCTTCCGCACAACAGTTTCAGGACCGTTTTCAAGTGTCGCTCAAGTGGATATACAAATTTAGCACAGTACTTCATTTTTCGGGGATTAAAAATCAAAGTGGTTACTAATGACCGTATTCTTTGAATTTCTGACACATTGCCAACCTTTGTAAAGTAAAGTCACTTAGTCTGGTTCACCTGCTTTCTCATTGGCTGCTTTGGCTGCTCGCTGCCGTAATGCTTCTAATAATACCTGGGCTGATGGATGCTATGGTTACTGTTACTTGGAGGAGGGAAAATTGTCATTGCAGTTTCTATGATAGTGAAAATAAGATTGCTGAAGAGGTGTCTAACACCCTGAAACAGATTTAGCCCCACTGTATTGACGTCAGCACTGGATCATAAAATGGAGATCTTATTTATAGCTTTTTTCCCCTTTTTTATCTTTTTTTTTTTAACTAGTTACCTTTTCTTCTTTTAAACTCTGGCAGTTTGGGAATATTGTCTGGAAAAAAACTGTATTTCAATTTAAGAACTCAAAGGACAAATACTACACGATTTTCTGCACAAATCCCACCTAAAGTTTTGAGTGTACCTTACATAGCCGATTGATGGAACAACCCTTAACTTGTTTAAAAAAACTCATCTCTGAAAATATGTATATATATATTTTAAGTGCTAGCAATAAGTACACTAAGTGTGCAAGTTGAGAGAATTGCACACATAAAAATTGAAGTTACTAGTCAACATGCTAATTTGACTCTGGTCAATAAAGGAATAGAGCCAACCGTCCTCTCTCTATTTACACGTGCTTTGTCCCATTGAGGACTGGATCTTAATGTAGCTGCCTTTGAGTCAGAATGTCCCTGGAGGTTATGTTTCCCTTGTTTGCTGAGAGCGACCTCATGCGAGCAACCTCAGACATTTGTAATCCATTTTGCAAGTCATGCATTCATTTGAGACTTATTTACTTAGTCTGTGCCATGGCTTCCAACCTAATTTGGGTAGCTGACACAACAAACCATGTGCTTACACAGATGGTGTTACATGGATCCATATCTGGTAAATGGCTGACGCTGAGGTGAAGCATTGTTAAAAATTCCCAATATAATTTGATGCTAAATTTTAGATGCAGAAAATGTCAATCTGCCAGTTGTACTTTCGATAGCTCGCCAGTTTGAAACACAGTCTGTTTCTCCAAACTTGAAGCAATCTGGTGACTGTCTACTGTAATTTAAGATCTTAAATACTCATAAGTAGTGCCCACAAGCAGGCGCTCTGTGATTGAAGTAACCCATCTTTCTGTGCATACTGTTTATTTTTTTCACCGGAGTAAAAGTTTGAAAACATTCCACTTGATGCTTCGTTGCGTGCATGAATTTGCATCAGGCCGTTTGATGGTCCTTCCTTGAGTGTGGCATCGGGGACTGGATCTGAATGTCCTCTCATTCACACTTTTATTTATTACTGTTGGCTTGTTATTAGCACACTCATAACATGTTCTAGCACCAGGTCCGAGCAGCCTCATGGGTTAATTAGACATTCCCATGATGTGTGATGATCCATCCACAAAAATGAGAAATCCCTGATGTTCCACAGATTGCAGCATTACCAGGTGCCTGGAATATATCTGCTTGTGTTGTCCTAAACACTTAAGTTGTCAGTCTACAATGAAGTACTCGAGTAATTTATACTCTGACCATTTTATACTGTGTTGGACTAAATGAACTAAAATGACTAGCCCTGTTTAAGTGCTGTTGTGTGCGTCTCCTGTGCCTGCAGGTAGAGGCCCTGACCCATCAGAACAGAGCCACCACTGTGCATGCTGTTCGCGATTCTGAACTGGCCAAGTTACCAGAAGGCGCTCTCAGCTCCATCAAAAGGAAATTTCCTCAGGTATTTAATAAGGTTTTAATGGATTAGAGACCAAAGCAAGATGTCCAGGACTACATTTTCGTCATAGTTAGCATTAAATGACATATTCAGTAGGTGACAGGGGTCAGGTGTAGTTAACAAAATGGATTTTCAAATATTTATTCTTCTCAGGTTGTCACGAGGTTGATCCATTTACTTGGTCAGAAGATTCTCCAGCAGGTCAACGGTCCTCTGACAGGTGTGTGCATTTGATAGTTTGAGCACATCTGCATACACACCATTGCTGGTGCTCAGCAATCTGTACCTTGTCCCACAGTGAAATAAATTGTTCTTGTTGAGTTAGAGGTTTAAAAATCTGTAATGTGTCCAGCTCGCAGTTTGGCACTCCACACTCCAGGAAGTCAGTGGGATGCAGGGATTCAAGCTTCTAACCTCTCCACGGTGGCGGTCCTGCCTGTATCAGAGGAGGTGCCTCTGACTGCCTTTACTCTGGAGTTGCAGCATGCACTCCTTGCAATTGGTAAGCAAAGAGGAGCTGCAATTCTCCTGGTTTTTAAAAATTCTCTCCGCCTGTTTTAAAACACCCACCAAAGAAATATGCAGCTCAATGTCAAGTTTTAAGCCTAACTTGAAAGGTAGAGAGGACGTCTTCTTCTTGAGCACACAACTAGTTCCCTAAAGAGGGGGGCAGTAAAACAAGCTTTGTCAGATAAAACTGTAGTAAATGGCGCACAAGGAATAGTAGGTTGGTAGAACTGGGTGGGAAACCAGTGGGCAGATGCGAACAAAACCTCCTTCAAGAGACAAATGTATTTATTTCCAGTCAGCATCTACCAAAAACCAGAAACAGCTGGTTTTCATGTGAGCAGTCATGTGTTCCTCTTCTCCCTACGTCAGAACTAACTCGCAAAAGCACGTGACTACTTTCCTGCCACGTCCTCAAACACAGTCTTGTTTGACATTTTGCAAAATTCATAGCGGAGGTATGGAGACATAATTAGTTTTGATGGGGAGTTATTTTGTGCCATTAATACTCTCTACTGTGATGTAACTGCTCCAAACCTCTCAGCAGATCCATTTTAGATTTCTGCTTGCATCTTTGATTGAACTGGAACTGAGCCTGCAGGACAGGTCTGTTCCTCTTTCTCCAATGTTTTGAGCGTGTACGTGTGTGCGTGAGCTCTCGATTATGTAAGAGGGGACAAACTATTCATAAAAAAAAGTTTATCCTCAGAAAGAGCATGAAGAGAGACTCTGAATTTCTAATATTAAAGATGTTGCATCCTCTTACTCAGATGTGTGATAATGACCACTACCATACAGTCATGCATCCTCATGTTTTTTAAGTCACATAGTTGAAGCTCCACCGAGAAAACACTAACTACAACTGTGGTCTGGTCTTATACAGGACCAACACTTCTTCTAACCAGTGATGTTATCAAGCAGAGACTTGGAGCTGCAGCACTGGACAGGTATATCGTGTTTTTCATTTACATGCATTTTATTGCAGCAATAGAGTAAAAAAGAAAAGGCGATCTGCATTGTGTATCATTAATGGGCTCCTTCCATCTTAAGCGTACATGAGTACAGACTGTCCAGCTGGTTGGGCCAACAGGAAGACATCCATCGCATAGTTCTTTACCAAACCGACTACACCCTGACCCCGTGGACGCAGCGGTGCATCCGTCAGGCTGATAGCATCATTATCGTGGGACTCGGGGAACAGGACCCTGCTGTTGGTGAGGTGAGGTGTCAGGGTCTGGGTTACTGATGGGAAAAGATGACTGGGAAGAAAGGAGGGGAGATTGGAAAAGGCGCCTCGTGTTAAGAGAAGAGATGGTAAAAAAGCTATATGTTATCAGCTTATCGATGCATTTATCAGATATTTTCTTTGTTGTTCCATTATCAATTTAGCCGTAAATATGGTGGAGATATTAGTCACAACCAGCGGTTTCATTGTTTTGCTGCAGATTTGTTAAATTCCAAAATGATATACATCAATCAAGCTGTTATTAATACTGGAACATTTGTACATTTATTCATTGGTCAACTGTTGTCTCAGGACATTTTTCAGAAAATAAAAACGTATATTTATGGACATGGCTACATACCTCAGGCTTTGATTAATGTCATGCTAAATGAAGTGGGGGGAAAAAAGATACGAATGAAACAGTAGATGTATCAGTATTGGGGGATAAGAAGATGGTGCACCCCCTCTTTAGTTATTAATATATTCTTTCTAAGAGGTTGTTTACTGCAGACCAAGCATTTCCAAGAAACTAGAAAACAGTGTGTGTTTGAGTATTGAAACGGGTAGTTAAGCATTATGTAAAGTATTTTTGTCGACTTTATTTGAAAGACTAAAGCCATTTATTTTTGTGGTCAACATTCTCAGTTTCATAGTTTTCATGGCATTACCAAAGCTTCAGGAAGTTACTGTGAGTAGTTCACTCTTCACTGGTGTGTTATGAAAATTGGATCCCGGTACATCAAACACACACCTTTTTAATGTGAAAGCCTCTCCTGTTCATAAAGCCTTTTGAATCTAGCTTATTCCCAGATGTTTAGTCAAAGTAATGGGCAGCAGGATTGAAATGGTTTGTATTTGACTCTTGGGCATGTTGGACAAATGAGTTTTGACTGGATGGATGTTGTGAAAGCCTCATGGTTTGATGGCGCTTGTCCAGCTATCGCTGAGGAGGTTATTGCCTTTCAAAATGGAGGGGGGGGGGGACTATGTGCTTCTTTAACTGGAAATTGAGGGAGAAATTGAAAGATGGATCAATATTTACTTAAGCTCGGAATGAGTCATGGCTCAGGCTTGATTTTTATCTTGCAGGACACACATGGAAGAAAACACGCACTCAAAAGCAAAAAGGGCGTTTTGTCAGGCTGTTCATTGATGACAGAAAATGTTTTGTAGAAAAATGCACCATAAAGATTTCAAAATAACACCTCAGGGATAACCTTTTGTTAACTGCAAATGCTATCCAAATGTTCAGATGCAACAATATCTACACAGAGGTTGCACTGATACTGTTATTTCATTAATCCATTTTATCCTTTTATGGATTACAGGGTGAAGCCTATACCGGTTCACATATAAACATTAACCTAAAAAAAAAAGACAGCAATGTGCTCTCGCATACATTTTGTATGCGTTTGAAAAGAAACAAGCATTCAGTAGAATATAAGCCAGGCACAAGGGCCTTTGGAACGCATCCCTGAAATCAGTGAAATTAGAGAAATCCTGAAAGAGAGAGATTTCAAATATTCTGAAGGGCATGTGCTCATTGCATTCCCCCTAGCTGGAGCGCATGCTGGAGGGAAGTGCGGTGCGTGCCCAGAAGCAGCTGGTGCTGCTGCACAGAGAAGACGGCCCTCCGCCCCAAGGAACCGTTGACTGGCTCAATATGCGAAGCTGGATCTCCAGACACCTCCACCTCTCCTGTCCGCGAAGGGTCTTCTCTAAAAGGAGCCTGCCTAAACTGGTCTGAATAGAAAACTCTACCTTTTTAATTACATTTAATCTGTCGATCAAAACTTCTTTTGGTTTATTCCAATTTGCTTGTGCACTTTTGGATAGTTTTGTTCTTGCTGGGTCCAGTTTTTAATATTCTTTCATTATATCCTTTCATTGTTTTATTTATTTTTTTCCCCTCAAAGCTCTCTCCTTTTTTTGGTTTTGTTGCATTTCCTTAACATTTTTTTTATTTTTTAAAGCTGGAATTGTATCAGCGCGTGTTCGAGAAGGCAGCGGACCGTCACTCGGACTTCTCCCGCCTGGCCCGCATTCTTACAGGCAACGCCATTGCTCTCATCCTTGGAGGGGGAGGGGCCAGGTAAGATTTGCTCTACTGCACCTTTTCCATGTAGCCTGGCTCAAAGGTCATTTAATATATACTGTATATATAACTTGGACATCCAAACAGAAATTGATACATTCATAAAAACAGTATCTTGCATTTCTGGTCACATGTGACCATAGTAAAAAAATATTTTATTTATTTACTCCACTATGAATATATCAGTTTCTACATGGTCATTTAGTTAAAATTCGCTTCCCTATTTTTATTTCCTAACCTTTGTAACTAGGGGTTGCTCTCAGGTGGGCATCGTGAAGGCGCTTTGTGAGTCTGGCATCCCAGTGGACTTAATAGGTGGGACTTCAATTGGCTCCCTGATGGCGGCACTGTATGCTGAGGATCGTAGCCACAGCCGCATGAGGATGAGGGCCAGAGAGTGGGCAATGGTGAGAGTCAGAGCAGCACTGATCAACTCCAGTTCTAACATTGACATCATTGTTTTGTAAACTTTATCAAACCTATTGAGAATGTTGCATGACAGCAGATCTTAATTCTTTTTCAACAGTGTTTTAATTACCCTAGAGTTAGTGTTTAGAAGAGAGCAGGCACTTTTCGTGCTTGGGAGAGAAACCCAATTAGGCAACTCCAGTTGCTCTTTAAAGTTTTTATATCCAGGTGCTGATCAGAGCCTTTTGGTGTCAAATGAAATTCATGGTGAGTGGGGCAGTGGTCGCCCACAATAAGAGGGTTCCTGGTTCTCCCTGTGTCTGCGTGGGTCCAAATCATGCATGTTGGCTTAATGGATCACTCTAAATTGCCCCTAGGGGTGAATATGAGTGTGTGTCTGGTTGTTTGTCTCTGTGTGGCCCTGTGATAGACTGGTGACTTGTCCATGGTGTAGCTGCTGCCTCCCCCACAACCCCACTGGGAATAAGCAGTATAGATAATGGATGGATGAAATATGTCCTCAGGTTTCAGCTTTTTCATCAGACACTTCTCCTGTGGTTCTGTCCTTGGTCCTGAATCTTCCTGTCAGAACCAGCTGGCTCACTTGCTGCTCTCTTATTCTGAATCAAAAGTGCCACTGTGACATATAGAGACTTCAGCAGAATGTGAATTTACATTCAAGGTTCACTAAATGTATGTAAACACTGGAACACGGACTGTTCTCGTAAAGAGGAATTAAACAGAACTTCTGATTTTATGTCTCATTAGGAGATGACTTCGGTTTTTAAGAAAATTCTGGATCTGACATATCCGGTGACTTCCATGTTTTCTGGTGCTGCTTTCAACTCCGGCCTCAGCAATATCTTCAAAAGCAAACAGATTGAGGTTAGTACCCTGTGTGTGTGGAAAAAGAACTAAAACTGGGAATGAAAATCATCAGAATCTTGGAAATGTTCCGTTCAGCAGATACATTGTTTTAACTGGCGTATGATGTGCTGTTATGTGTGCAGGACCTATGGATCTCATACTTCAATATCACCACAGACATCACTGCGTCAGCCATGAGGGTCCATACTGACGGTGAGCCCCACGTGTTTTCAGTATTCTCAATTCCTTGTTTGTTTTTTTAACGCTCGGTTTTATTTTTTATTCGAATAAGAATCCATCAATCAAAGTACTTTATTAATCCCACAAGGGGAAATTCCCTCTATGCAGCAGCAGCAACAACACACACAATAAGCCACGTTATTGTGACAACAAAAGAAGAACAGAGTTGTTTTTTTTTATTATTATTATTTTTGTGCTGGTTTAGGTTCTCTCTGGCGTTACGTCCGTGCTAGCATGTCTCTGTCGGGATACCTGCCTCCTCTCTGTGACCCCAAAGATGGTCACCTGCTGATGGATGGAGGCTACATCAACAATCTGCCCGGTTTGTAAAACTCTTCAGTTTTAATGGTTAAGGTGGTTTCCTTTTTTTCCCCCACCCCATTTATGTTCATTTGCCTCTTCTCATCCTTTCCTTTTGGTTTTCTTTTCTTTTAACTCTACCAGCTGATGTGGCGCGCTCCATGGGGGCCAAGGTGGTGATAGCTATTGACGTGGGCAGTCGGGATGAAACCAATCTCACTAATTACGGCGACTCGCTCTCAGGCTGGTGGCTGCTATGGAGACGCTTCAACCCACTTGCTGAGAAAGTGAAGGTGATGAATTGATTAGCAAACAAGACACAGCAAACTGTTCAAAGATGTTTAAAAAAAAAAAAAAAGAAAGTCTGGCCTAAAAACAGCTGTGTGCATATCTTTGGAGGCGTTTTTCAGTGATCCAGAAGTTTGTTTCAACAGGTGTTGAACATGGCGGAGATTCAGACTCGTCTGGCCTACGTTTGCTGCGTGCGGCAGCTGGAGTCTGTTAAGAACAGCGACTACTGCGAGTATATCAGACCTCCAATTGACAGATACCGAACTCTGGAGTTTGGCAAGTTTGACGAAATTGCTGTAAGTTTGTCTCTCAAATTTTAGACACATTTTTATTCCCCCAGTTGCAGGATCTTTTTAGCCAGCACCACGTGAAAGCACATCAATGTTACACGAATGTTTGTTTTCAGGAAGTGGGATACCAGCATGGCAAGACTGTGTTCGACGTGTGGAGTCGCAGTGGCGTGATCGAGAAAATGTTGAAAGACAGACATCAAGAGGAGTTCCACAACACTCAAACCAAGAACAATGTAAGCCTGGAGATTAGCAGGATAGGAATATTGAAGAAGATATGGCAGTTTATGCATATATGGCTGAAGGACGTTGATGCATTGGTGCCAAATCAGTAAAGTTAAAGATAAAAAAAACAAACAAACCCTTTTCAAACATCTGAATACACATAAATGCACAATTTATTGATAAGGTGTCCGAAATGAATATTTCATTTTATTTTATTGAACATCGCCATCTTTTTTTCTTAACTTACCCTCATAGAAAGACAGCAAAAGCTGAACTCAAGTGGCTTAAGGGCATGCTTAAAAGTGATGGAATAACCTCATCAAAGCCCAGACCCCAGTTCAATTTAGAATGTGTGAAACAACTTAAACTTTGCCACGCGCCAGCAGAAGTCATCCAGCTTGAAGGAGCTGGAGCACTTTTCCCCTGAAGAACTGGCAGCAGGCACAGTGGATAGAGTGCACGCTAAATTTACAGTGGCGTATCCCGTAATGCATGCAGCTGGAAATGCTGCCTGAGGTATTACCTTCAAGGTTGTGGATACTTGTGCAGGCTCAGGTTCAGTTTGCTTTACAACTCAAATAAATTTAAAAAGAATAAGAAAAAAAGAAAAAAACTGCATAAGCAAAGGGAAGGGGCACAGAAAGTTCCATCTACTGATGGTTGCTAATGCCAAATGTTATGAAAGGGATAGTTTAAAATGGTCTTTGGGGTCTTTATGTTCCCCCAAAAGTACATTTGTTTGATGCAAACTAACAAATATAAAACAGTGTGCTTTAAAACAGGTACATGACTGTTTTCTGGCTGGACATGGATAGAGGTGTAGATAAATAAATTGATGAAACTAAAGCCAGTGTGCAAATAAAAGGAAATAAATTGCCACCTATAATTTGTTACAGCTGACATTTAGGAATTTTTATACCGGGGGAACTTGGAGGGAGAGCTGTGGACAACCCAGTGGGCATGGATTAAGTGTTTAGGTTCTCGGTGAATTCCACTTCATACGTGACCAGTCTGCAAAAACCCCAAATGCCTACAAGGACATGACACTTTGCTTCAGTGTGATGCCACAGAGCTAGTGTACATCTTTTACATGGCGTCTGTGTATTGAAAACACTCCTCTTTCAGGTGGTGACATGTCCCAATGCCTCCTTCACTGACCTGGCGGAGATCGTGTCCCGCATCGAGCCTGTCAAACCTGCCCTGGTGGACGGTAAATGTTCTGATGCACACGGCAACACCACCTAACGCAGCCACACCCATTCCGATGCTTTTAAAACGTAGTGACAGAGTTTCGTTATTGTGTTTGGATTATGTTCATGGGTGGCGGAATTATTTGACCAAAAGGCAGGACTGACCTGCTTTGTCTTTGTTGCAGTTCAGTGTACAAATTATGAGTGAAAACAAGTTTTTTCTGTTGGCTACATGGGGGAAAAAAAGGATGGGAAATAAGAGAAGTGTATTTAGATATTTTCAAATTCTGTATTACTGTTAAAGTACGCAATATTCCAAAGGATTTGGGCTTCAGTGAAACCTTTTACAGGAATCGCTGTTTCATCAGATCTCATTTCTCTTTGTTCCCTCTCTGTTATTCACAATTTTGGCATTAATCACTCATCCACAGTGCGGTGGAAGACCTCCCACATTGTTGCCCCTTTTGCTGTTTGGTTTCATTCACCTGCTCACCTTTGTCACCTCTTTCACACCCCACCTATTTCACCTGATCACTCACCCTTTGCTTCTGTGCACCCTGCTCTCCGCTGTTCCCCTTCATCAGAGGAGTCAGACTACCACACTGACTATGAAGAGGATGCATTGGAGAGTGCTCTCTCTGACATGGAGATGTACAGTCACTACGGCGAGCACACGGAGGGGGAGGAGACTGCTGACACGGTGTGAACCTTCGGCTATAACATAATTACACCAGGAGGTCTCCTCTGTTGCCTTTTACGCCTGAAAAAACTCAAATTAATCTGCGTCTTAGGAAGCCTTTTAGCAAATCTTCAGATGTGGCATTTGAACCCAAATGTCCACTACATCCATGTTTGCAGTAGTATGTTTGATTGGTGGGAAAACATGAATGAACGCAAAAGTGTTACAATAAGTGTCTTGGAAGATAAATGGGATCTTTCAAGGAAATTCCATTACATCATTTTGAATTTCTCGAGCTAATGTACAGTTGTGGGTGGTGCCGGATCAACGCACTGAGCCCGACCATTCAGATCAGACTCCGCTCAGATAGACTTAAATATGCAAGGTGATTAATACTCAATAAGGTACTTCATACTTTAAATGGGCCTTTAAATGTCCTTAAGTTTTCACTAACTGTAATGTGAGCTGGCCCAGATGTAAAATGCAGCACCTCAATTTAGTCCTCAAAATAAGATTTCCCATTTTTGTAGACGGGCCAATTGTTTAATTGTCACATTTTTAAACCTTCCCTCTGTTTTTTCAGGATGAAGAGCTGGAGGGCAGAAATGTCCGCTACGTGAAGTCCTTTGCTCACAGTCAGCCTCCAGCTGTCCACAACAGTTCATTGGAGGAGCTGACAAACCAGCAAGTCCATTCCAAACAGTCCATTAACTAAGAGCTGGTCTAATGATCTCTGCCTTAACAGGTCATCACCATTTAACTTGCCTTCATTTGCCACATTTGGCCTCCATTCTGCCCCGATGACTCCACCCGTGAAGCCGCTCTCAGGTGCAATTACTTCTGTGACTTGGCCTTGTTAGCTGTGTGCTGACATAAAATGAACTGTCCCTTAAACTGAATATGAGCATCTAGAATTGATCTAGCACACATGTATTCATAGTTTATGGAGCTGCTACAAGCCTGTTCATTTCTCACATTGAGAGTTGCGATTACCTCTTAAAACTCCACTTTAAACACACCTGTCCAGTCTGGAATGAATGGTAGGGCTGGTGAAGAAACTATTTCCATGATATGCTGATCACGAGGAACCAAGTGAAAACACCTAATCTGTGTTAATTTCCCTGAACGTTGGTAAAATTTTTAGGCTATTAAAGCATCATTTAATCTAAATTACTGGATAAATATGTTTCATTCCTGATGATTAAGATGATGTGGTGTGTTTTCTTTTTTTTTTCACCCCATATGCTAGGATACAGTTTGTAAAATCATTTCAGAATATTGAAGATACTTTGAATGAAAGTTGCTTTTTTTGGTGGTTGTTTTTTTTGTGGGTCTAAAGTCATTCGGACTTAATTATCGAAAGAAAGTGTGTCCAATGCAAGCTGTTGACAGTAAAGTCTGAGAGGGATGTCACTCAGGGTTTTGAGTATTAGCAAGACTAAAAATACCTGATGGCTGGCAAAATTGGATAAATCACATGTAATTTTTTTAGGATGATCTGATATCAATAATTTGACGTAAATAATTCATATAATCTGTTAGACCTGCATTTAAAAAAACACTAAACCAAGGCTACATTTAGATTGTTCACAGTTCAGTCTTGATTCAGTACACCCATCACCGCCTCTGCTTCTGTAATCATTCATCCTCTCATAATGGACTCAAATATGCTTAATCATTCAGAATAGCATTTTGGTATTCGTTTCATGGGGCTCAAATTATTTCCATTCTCAAAGGAGAATTACATTCCAAAAGTGAAAAGAAAAAGATGTTTCCTACACTTGTGTAACAGTTCCTTCCAAACTGGCCTGCCAAACCGCACTCATTTAAAAACAAAGAGCACGAAATGAGCAGCACGGCCCACAGCCATGGCTGTCAGCACAGTTTTGTTTTACCAGTGTGCCAGGGACATGCAGGGAATGAATGATTGCAGTCCACTTCAAAGCACTAGTTTCCCTCATGTCCCCCTAAAAAAAAAAAAAAACAGTTTTCTGGCTTCATTCTGAGACCCAAACCAAGCAGCAGACAAAATGACTGAGCTCATCTTATCTGTGGATAGCTGATTCACAGAAATGTGTTCAAATGAATGAAGGAACTTGTATTCCTTTTGTCCTTTTCTAAGTACACTTTTCCTTATGATTTTGGATTCATTTGGAAACGTGACTGTATGAGTGGCATGCCATATGTATATATGCTTTGTTTGACATTTTCCCCCATACTTTAGCCAGAAGTAAAAAAAAACAAACAACTTTTTAAGTATGTACTCTTCATGTCCAGTAGCCCCTGGCTGTTTTTATGCACAAGTCACAGGAGCTAGACTATCATTCCACAATGCATTTTAATGCACAAATTACGAAATCATTATTGTGCTTTAATGGATGAATCCATTAGGTTTTATAGATTTACCTTAATCTTGGGCTAGAATTGTAGTTTTTCATTGTGATTGTTGTAAGTACTAATAAAAGCCTGTGTTATATTAAACAACCGAGAAGTGGAGATAAAACCTTAGCAACAAGCTTGAATTGTGCAGTTACATATTGATTTTTGTCTGATAAAGGTCAAAGACCCAAAGATTATCTGATGACTTTGATCACAAGGGAATGCAACAAACATACATACTGGATTTGTTAGACAAGTTCCAACTAAGCAATATCAAAAGAATTGAGAAGTAGATTAAGATATGGAGTCATTTTTAACACGATGAAAGCTCCTTTTTTCTTTCACACACACATCGTAATCCTAATATTACTGCATCAAGCTTAAATCAGCCAGTCAGATCGAATTAAAAAACCTTTGCAATGCAACTTTTGTGATATTTATTTCCTTTCCACTTGACATAGCACTCTGTACCACTCGCTGTACGTGTCATCATAAACACTGGTGCTAAAGTGCCTGCAGCCTTAAGTGTGTGGACAGCAGGAAAAACCTGTGATAAACACTATGGGGGGGGGTCCCCATATGGTGTTGGTGAAATGGAGCCCGGACAGAGAAATAGTCAGCACAGTGCCGATAAAAAAAGAAGAAAAAAAAAAAAAGCCATTAACCACTGAGATTATGAAGCTCATTTATTTCTTTTTTGAAATGTAAACCAAGCACAATAAATCAGTGTCATCGTGCAGAATGAATGTTTCACTACTTTGTTAAATGGGTCATGGTAATGAATGAAGTGCTGCTTTAATGGATGGAGCTGTGCCATGAGGTATATGTAACGTAGCCTTAGATGACCCCTGCGGAAAAATGACTTGTCCTCAGTTAACAGTCACTTGGATGATTATACAAGAATGTTTACCAGTAAGCCTATAAGATGTGATGTTGTGTTTTTTATCACTTGTTACTAATAAACCTTTTTTTGTTGTTGTTGAGATTGGTGTCTTTGATGTTCATTTTTCTTCTTGAGGATTGTCCAGAGCCTAAAGGTGGTAACTCCCTCAGGGTTCCACATCTGACCGCAGAGATTTCAGCCTCCTCAGTGGTCAACCAGGATTCTGACATCTGACAAGTAAGGCAGTTATTTTTTTTAAATCTGAAAAGTACACCCTGATCAACTCATATTTGGGAAAACACATTAAGAGCCGCTGCACATTTTATTGCACACACTCAAAGAGCAACGTATTTTGCATGCCAGTGTATGATTAATCTCACCTTATTGATGTATCCTTGAGCTTTTTCTTTCTCACATTCTCCCTTGGGAAGGCAGACTTGCAACAGCTAATTAATGAGCATACAAGTGGGATTTAGGTCACAAGAGTGGCTCAGAGGAGAAGGAGGGGAAAGCGGCACTCATCTCAATCGATGCATCACAGCAAAGAAAGCAAAGGCCTGAAAAAAAAAGAAAGGGGGTGAATGAGTTTGGGATTACTGCCATTTTGAGGTTTTGAGCTTGACAGTGAACATGAGAAGTGTGTTGGCAGACGGTGACCCCATCTATCAATTACTGCGAGAGGCAGTAAGATATTTGTATGAACATTCATAGAAAAAGGAGGAAGGGGAGAAAAGAGGAAGTTTCTGACCTTCAATGGACAGACACTTTGATTTGTAGAAGGTCAGAAGTCCACTTATGGTGCAGCGCATCCTTCCTCTCTAACCATGCAGCAGAGCTCCTCTGCTCTCCTCTTTCTAGTTTCACCGCTTCTCATTTCTCTTTGTTTGCCTGCAGGGTTTTGGAGAATGGGGACAAAGAGACTTAAACAGGTAAGTGGGTCACCATTTTTGTTGCTTTAGTTTGAAAAAAGAACTACGACGTGTAAGTAACAAAATAGTGGCAGCTCGTATAAAGATCCTCTACAATGAAAAAAAAGGTAGAAAATGCTACAAAGCAGAATCATTGTGATAATCAAGTGATAAAAAAAAGGGTAAATAACAAAACCCCTGATTTATATGAGTATGTTGTTATTTTCTATGTATTTTAAGTAAATGAGCTGGCGGCAAAAATGACCACAAATTTGTGATTAGCTTTTCAGTAACTACTAATCATTTAATATCCCGACACTTGCACAGCGCTGGTCAGGGTCCATGTAATTAAAACCATATGAAGTGTTCAATTGTTTAAAAAGCAGTGCTTAATAAATGACTATTTTTTTAGCAGGACCTTTGTATTTGAAAAGATTGTTGTTTGGGCCATGCTCTCCCAAGCTGCTCCTATAAGTTAAAAGGTTCTAGATAGGTTCTGCTGACAATTTTGTGATGTACATCAAAACAGACTCATTGTTTGACATGTGTGAATGCCATGTGGGAATGTGTGATACGTGGAATCGAGGTGTGTTGTTATGCAACGGTTTTGGTGGCATTCAGTGGCATGTAATGTGGAGGGAACAAGATGGCACAATTACGTGTTAACTGGAGAGCTCAGGGTTTTTTAATGTTCCAATCCCTGATTGGGCGTCCAGTTCTGACTTTTGGTAAAGGTGCCACGTCCGGTGTCCAGCCAAGGTCCCATCCTGGTTGTGTTTTTGTTGTTTGCTTACTTGTTTGAAGGATTCTTTTTGCTTCTTCTGGGCTTAGTGGAGGTTGTACTCTAGGAGGGCAGGGCGTGGAGGAGGACTGGTGTGGTCGTCTATCATCAGAGGTCTGCAGGAAACGATGCTAGCGGTCTCAGTGGGCCTGTACTGATTAGAGCGTGGGGTGGGGATTCCAGGAACAAACCACGGGCTCTTCAGGGCACAGCCCACATTAATTCACTAACGAACGGTTTCTCTATTCGAGGTCCCACGGATGTCTTCAAATTGAAGTTTATTTGTTTTTTTTTTGTATTATTACCTATATTCACATTTCTTCATAATCTATATTTAAGCAGTTAATGAAGTTAAAAGTGTACAGATACTGGCAACCCCTGTGCTTGAGCCACACTTCATCACATGGTTACTTCAATATCCTTTGTGAATTATAATATAATTTTGTGAATTATCTTGATATAAAAATATAAGGCATAATATAATTTAGGACATAATTATTTATATTATTATTATTATATAAAATATATAAGGAAATGTTGAACTGTAATGTTTTTAAAAGCGTGAAATGTGCGAAACATACCTTTAAAAGGTCAAAAGAGCTCATTCTGAAATACACAGAAATAAGCAAAGCAGCAAAAAACAGCAAACACATGAAAATGAAATAGTCTCCACCTAAACCCTATAAGATAGCAAAAATGAAGCATTGATAACTTTATGTATTTTATTTCTACATTGTGAAACAAACAAGGCTCACCTATGATGTGAGAACGTTTTAAATTCACTCTTATTAGTTTAAGATAACTGGAAGGAAAGGGACGGTCAAAATGGAATTGGCAGCGACAACTACGTTTTTAAGATTCAAATCACATTTCAAAGACATGATCAATTATGGAGAGCCAGAGCAGAAACCAGAAATGCAAGTGTGAGACAATTCATGCACTCATTATTTACAGTCAAAGGAACTCTGTCCAATATCAGTGAGGGAAACTCAAGGGACTTCAGAACTGGTGTGTATCAGGATGTTCTCAACCCTGATGTCCTGATAAAAGATGCTTTTATCCTTGCTAGTATCAACCTTCAGACTTGGCACAATATGGGAACAGCAGCAATGGAATCGCAGCACAGCTTCAAATAGAAACGTCAAACCTTACTACAACTGACAGCCTGTGCACTCTGAGGCAAATAGACTGTTGAACTCAAAAACTCAAAAGATTTTTTTGTGAATTGAAGAGCATGTTGTTCCACCTGAATAGGTCTGATCTGAAGTTTTGCTTTTAACCTGCCTGTCTGCATTGCTTGATCCTAAATCTACTGTATCAGAAGTGTTTCCAGTGATAGTAATAAAACATATCGATCGGAATACAAAGCATGGTTCCTGTAGTTTCCGATGATAGAATAACCTTTGATGCTTTTCCTCCAGTGATCACTTTCCTGATATACTGTTAATGTAAGCCGAAGCGGGTCCTCTTCTTTTAGGCCTTTTTCTCTCACAAGTGAAACTTGATCTTATCTGTGTATTTGCATTGTGTAGTGTCTTGTTCAGAAACCATAGTGAGAACAGCGGAAAGAAAAGCAAAAATGGTGACAGTGCAGATTGCTCTTCACGTCCACTAGCAAGCCTCCAAGAAGACTTTTGCACTTCAATGTGCCTTTTAATGGGGCTCGTCTGTCTGGCAGCAGGATTAGCTCCCCAGTCAGGTCATACCTGCCCAGAGGAGATAACGGTGCCATCATCCACACTAATTCACTTGATCCCGCAGTCAGTTTCCGCATATTTTCGTCATCCGTGGGCAGGCGCATTCCGGTTTATTTTGTGGAAGGCGACAAGAAATGGACAAACAGAAGTTCCTCAGGTAAAAAGAAGAGTAGAGAAGTGAAAAACTGTAAAAACTTATAAATTGGGTTTTAGACAATCATTTCTGACACAGCTCAACTGTACATGAATATTTGAAATGATAACTTCATCAGTGTTACAGAGTAACATGTGGAAAATGACTTCACGCACATTTTTAAACATCACATAACAAATGATCCTGGATGATCGCATTAATTACCCAGAAAGCAATCAAGTCGTCTGTCCAAATAAAAAGTAATGAAGTAAAAACCTTAAAAAAGGGCAAACTTTATTGTTGATATATAATAAACAGTTCACGGTTTTGCACTTCATTGCGACATAAACAAGTTAACTACATGCAAGACAATAAATCAAACGCCCGTATCGTGTTGTAATGCTGACGTAGCTGGCTCTCAACACGGAGCAGCTGGCCCATGACTGCTTTTTGTTGAGAAGTAAGCATTTTCTTGTTAAATGGATTAAGAATAAGAAGAGACAGGGCTGTGTGTGAGCAATTGTTCGCCCCTTTTCTTATCTAAAATGCACTCCATACAAAAAGTAAACTATAGATTTGGATTCAAGTTAGAATATATATTTCAGGTTAAAAAAAGAAAAAGCTGAGGGACCTTTTTTTAAATCTTTCTGGGATGTCAGCTAAAGTGTGCCACGGCTGAAGTCCGGTGTTGGAGTCCTTGCAGGTGAAATCATAGTCCAGGTGCGGTTGCTTTTCCCACCGGTTTAAAGCTGAAGGAGCCTCCGGCTGCATGCTGCGATCAAGAAGCTCTCTGAAACTGCAACATGTGGCAATTTTTCTTAGGAAAGGTATGATTAGTTAGCAGATTCATGGTACAGCTACTCGAACACCAAGCAGAGACCCATATGTTAGCTACAGATGTCGTTACGGTGTTCACTGATATGCCGTTCAGGATTCATTATTCTCATATCCATCACACTCCCAGGGAGGCACTGAATTGGTCAAATATTCATCCTATAAAATCCTCTAACAAAACAGTGGCCCTAAACATATGGTGTCAAAATTTCAATCTCAAGAACAATTGAACATTTGGCGAGATATGATCCCATCATCACAGAGTCAGGGATGGGTCGCACAAACATTGTCAGTAAGAGAACACGCTACAATCACATCCAAATAAAAGAAAAACAGTAGTATATTATACTATACTAAAACATATTATACTCATACTGTTCCTCCAGCATATATTAAATGGAATTGTATGTCTTGCATAGTTGCCTCAAATCAATGTCAAATGTAATAGACAGAAATATATTTGATGTCGAAGGCTAATAACATCTCTATATTCCACAAATTTAGGGATAGAGTGCAGAATGGAAACAAACACAGAATCCATTGATGCACAAATCTCTTAACCGATGTTTCCCTCAAAATAAAAGACTTATAATCACATCTATCAACAAGTAAGTGGTGCTAAAACTTGTCACCTTTATGTCTGAATATATACTGTACCCTGAAAACATCCCATCTGTAGAGCGAGGCATTTTAAGTATGACATACAAGTACCAAGTAAGGGGTAACGGAAAGAAAACACAGGAGGCGAC